GCAATCCCAGATTCTTAGGAGGCAGAGGTCAGAGGATTGGAGCAAAAGTGAGAGACCCTATCTGAATAAAACAAATGAAAGCAAATAGGGCTGGGGACATGGCTCAAGTGGTAGAGCATTAGCAAGTGTAAGGCCCTAAGTTCAAAACCCAGTACTGTCAAAACAAGCAACAAAGAAAGGAAGGAAGGAAGGAAGGAAGAGGAAGGGAGGGAAAGAAAAAGAACCAAATGCATACTGACTATAAGACAAATGAGCTTTTTGAAAACACAACCAAAACTGACAAAGTATACAGAGAAAAGAGAAAGAAAACTCAAATAGACCAAATTATAAATGAAAAATGGAGACAAGCCATATCACAGAAATACAGAGATCATGAAAGATTCTATTAACAACTACACATCAATAAACTGGATAACCTAGAAGAAATGGATAAATTCTTAGAAACACACAACCTATCAAAACTGAAAGATGGAGCTCTCGAAATTCTGAACAGTGAGGAGAGTGAATCAGGAATAAAAAACCTACTAACAACAATAACAACAAAACCCAGAACATGATAGCTCCCCTGGTAAATTCTACCAAACCTTTGAAGTGAAATTAATGTAAACCTTTCTCAAAGTCTTCCAAAACACTGAAGAGGATGGAACACTTCCAAACTCATTTTACAAAGCCACCATTATCCTGGTGCCAAAGCCAGACAAAGTTACAAGAAGAAAAGAAATTGCAGACTAATTTCCCTGATGAACATAGATGCTTAGATCCTCAACAAAATACTAACAAACTGAATTCAACAGCACATTAAACAATCATGCACCAGATATGGACTTTACCCCTCCAATGCAAGGACAGCTCAACACAGGCAAATCAATAAATGGGACACTCCACGTTAATAAGTGCAGGATAAAATAATATTTTCACTTCAACAGATGCAGGAAAAGCATTTAACAAAATTTAAGATCTTTTCATGGTAAAATTATGTCAACATATTAAAAACAGAAGTGACTGTAACTTAACATGAAAGGTCATATATGATAGGTCCCCAGTCAACGATGAAAAGCGGTAAGTTTTTCTTCCCAGACCAGGAACTAAACAAGGATGTTCCTTCTGGCCACATCTAGTACTGGAACTCCTAGCCAAAACACCAGGCAAGAGAAAAAAGTAAAAGTCATTTAAATTAGAAAGTAAAAAGGAAAATGTTTCTAATTGCAGATGACATGATCCTCTACATAAAAGACTTCACCAAATAAGTGTCAGAACTAATAAAAGAATGAAGTAAATTTGCAGGATACACAATTAACATATAAAGTCATGAGTGTGTCTACATACTAATGATGATATGAAAAACAAGTAATGAAAAAAATTTTTAAAAGCTGGGTATGGTGGCTCATGTTTATAATTCTAGCTACTCAAGGAGGCAGATTAAGTTAGTAAAATTCCCATCTCAACAAAAAACCAAGGCATGGTGGTGTATATTTTTAATGCCAGTTATATGGGAGGCATAGAAGGATCATGGTTCTAAGTCCATCCAGGAAAAAAATTAACCTAAAAATTAACCCAAAAACCAAAAAGGGCTAGAGGCCTGATGCATGTAGTAGAGTGCTTGTTTACCAAGGGCAAAGCCTGAGTTCAAACACCAGCATAGCCAACACGTGCACACACACTCATGCACACACACTCATGCACACACAGGCATGCACACCCACATGCACACATGCACGTGCACACACATGCACACACCGACGTACACACAGGCACGCACATGTGTGCACACACACGCACACATACATGTGCACACACATGCATGCACAGAATCTACATAATGGAAGAAAATATATTCAAGCCACATATGTGATTATGCTTTAATATATAAGAAACAAACAACTCAATGGAAAGAAAACAAATAATTAAAACATGGGCAAAGGACCTGAGCAGACATTTCTAAAAACGCACACAAATGGCCAACATATACATGAAAAACTGCTGTCTAGGATGTGGAGAAGGGAACCCTGTACACTGTTGGTGAGAATTTAAATTAGTAAGGCCATTATGGAAAAATAGTACAAAAGTTCCTCATAAACTACATGTAGAACTTCTGTATGATCTAGCCACCCACTTCTTCATATACATCCATACGAAATGGAATCAATATTTTGAAGAGAAATCTGCACTTCTATGTTCAGTGAAGCATTATTCACGGTGGCCAAGATACAGACTCCACCTAAGTTTCTACCCATGAATGAGTGGAAAATACAGATCCATATATATAATGTGGACTTAAAAAAGAAGGAAACCTTGTCATTTGTAACAACATGAAAGAACCTGGAAGAGATAAGTTAAAAAAAAATGGCACAGAAAACCATCATTGCATATTCTCACTTATATCTAGAATCTAAAACTGTCAAGCTCATAGAAGCAATGAGTAGAACGGTGATTGCCAGGGACAGGTAGGTGGGGCATAGACTTCCATTAAGGTATCTAACCTGAGAAAGCTAACCAATACAGGATGACTACAGCTAATAATATTGTGTTGTATACTTGAAATTGCTCAGAAAGACAGTAGATCAAAAAAGTTCTCAACACACACACACACACACACACACACACACCAATAAACATGTGAGATGATGGCCAGGTCACGTAGCTTCATTGTGATTGCTGTTTCACAATTTATCATATGCTATCCTAATCATATCATTATACCACATATATTAATATGTATATTAATATATATAATATAATATATGTGGTATAATCAATGGAGAAAGGATAGGCTTTTCAACAAACGGTGCTGGAGAAATTTGGTATTCATAAACAAACAATAACAAAAAAACCTTTTAATGTAAATCTCAACCCTTACACAAAAATTGATTATGGACCAAAATAAAAAATATAAAACTAAATGAAAGTTTTAGTGGGTGGAAAATGTCTTTAGGGTCTCAGGCCAGGAAAATGCTTGATCCATGAACAAGTAAGTTTCTAATTTGGACCTCATGGAAATGAACTCCTTTACTTTGTGAAAGATCCTGTTATGAGATTGAAAGGGCAAGCTACAAAGTAGAGACCATGTTTGCAAACCACATATCTGACAAAGAACTACTATTTAACATAGAGAAAGAACTTTCAAAACTCAATGGTAATCATCAAACAAATCAATTAGAAAATGGGCAAAACACAAAAATAGACATGGCCCAAAGGAGCTATATAAGCAAATAAGCATATAAAAAAGTATTTGACATTATTAGTCATTAGGGAAATGCAAATTAAATTCACAATGAGATATTGCTCCGCACCTATCAGAATGGTAAAATAAAAGCTAGTGACAGTACCAAATGCTAGCAAAAGTGAGGGACAATTGGAATATTGCTACATCACTGGCAGAAATGTGAAACGGTATAGTCACTGGAAAACAATTTGATGGTTTCTTATTAAATTCATCATTCAATTACCATACAAGTTACAAATTATACTCACGGGTATTAATCACATGTACATGAAAACTTATGTTCACACAAAAGCCTGCACACAAATGTTCACGGTAGTTTTCTTCATAATTGCAGGAAATAGAAACAATCCAGATAGCTTTCAATGGGTAAATGGTTACATAAACTGTGAGACATGTAATACACTCATCAGTAAAAAGTCATGAAGTATGAATACACACAATAACCTGGATGAATCACTAAGAAATTATGCTGAGTGAAAAAATACACAGTCAAAAAGTATTATCTCATTCATGAACCACATTTGAAATGACAACTTTTACAAATGAAGGAAAATTAAAGGTTGCCAGGGGTTAGGGCATGGGTAGGAGAGGAGGAAATGTGAAATGGCTCAGTATTTTTGCCATGATGATGGATACACAAATTTACACAGAACCAAATGAACACACACACACATACACACACACACACAGATGAGTACAGAAGGGGAGAGCTGAATAAAGTCAGTCAATTGTATCAGTGTCAATAACCTGGTTGTAACAGGATACTACAGTTTTGTAAAATGTTGCACTGGGGAAAACTAGGTAAAGGATCCTGGGAGACCTTTCTCTGTGTTATTTCTTACAACTGTGGTAAATCTATAATTATCTCAATAAAAATGTCAATGTAGTAAAGATAGCAGATAACATCATATTGAATCTTGAATCTTTGTGAAGGAATTTGAACTCGAATAGGCAGTTGGGAGCCATAGAAGCCAGTTGAGTAGGGATGACTTGAAAGAATCAATATAATGATAGTGAGAATGCTGGATTAAAGGAGAAGTTACAAAAGCAGGAACTTGGAAGCCCACAGTGTCCAAGTGAGGGTAATGTCAAAGCCAATACTGTTCTCAAGATCCATGCCTGTGCCCACACCATGAACCATACACTCAACATGCATTCACTTTGTCCAAGTTCTTTTGTAATTTATACCATATGTAGGAATATAACCATAACTTAAAGGCATTTCCAACAGTTATTTCACTATAATGAACTCATTTTTTTGATGCCACCTTTTTAACATTTTATAAAAATGAAGAAAAATTGTACTGACTGATTTCAACAATTTTATAAACAGAAGAAAAATAACTTTTCTACTTCTTATAGTAATTGACATGTTTTTAAAATAAGTTCAACATGTTTGAAGATTTGAAAAATATACTAGACATTATTTTCATTAATTTTAACTAAATGTTGATAAAATTTTGTAATCCATGTTTAAGTGTCTGAAGAAATCTAACTTGTTAATTTTAATGTTTTGATTTATTAGTTTTATGAGCAGTGTTTAAATGTTGAGATTAATACTTTTGCATGAATTTATACATTTATGTAACTGTGCATGAAATAAAATGCAGGAGTGAAGCTCTTCTCATTCGATAAATATTCCCATTGTCCAACTGAAGATCTGTGATCTAATTCTGTCTCTGCCTGGGTGTTCTCTCTGTGAATCCTCAGCAGAGTTGTATCCTCTTTGAAGATTTTTGGAGCTGATGGTCCCAGATCAAGAAGGAGGTAGGCTTACCTTATGGGGTTGTCCATCCTGGACACTGTGAGGAAGGCAGCAAGATTGGCTGTGTAGGATGAGCACACGATGAGGGTGAAGAGCCACCAGCTTCCCATCACGATACGCATGGCCACGGAGTTCACAGAAGACTCGCCACCTGCAAGAAGCAGGCAGACTGGATTGGCCAGGGCTTCTCACTCACTCTCAGCCCAAGGAAATGCTCCCCCTGTGGCCAGGGACATAGGTTGCCACTGCTGCTTGAGGAAAAGGGGAGTGACTGCCAGCTGGACATTTCCTTTCAGAAGGAACATAAAACCCAGCAGTTTTAGAAAGTGTCAGAAGACCATAAAAGACCGAAAAGTTAGGATTGGCCTCGGGTGACAAGAAGTTTGTTCAAATGCCATGGATAGAGTTCTAAACATGTAAACCTTCCAGCTAGAAGATTCTTCCACACAGTGGTAAGAACTTACAGGGCTGCAAGTTAATGGAAGGTCCCTGTGCAATTTCAAATTCACATAGAGTAGACTCAGGAATTCTGTAAATATAGAATTGCTTCCTACCCAGAGGGTTTCCCCAGCCTTATTTTAAACCAGAGAAATGAGATACACCATATCACTTTTATTAATATTCAGCCCTTGCTAGATGATTTTTCCCCAGGATTTTCAGAAATCATTGCATGGAACTTTCAGCAAGAAGCTGCCTCTTTGAGGCCAATTATTTCTCTTTGGTTCCTTAGGTGGTAGCAGAAGAAAGCATCTCCCTGTCTGTTCTCCTTACATAACCTTGCAAAGCTTTTGCCATGATGCAGACAGCATCAAAACTCATGTTAAGAACTTTGCAATTTGTTGTTTCTAGTAAAAATTGCTCAGTCCTGTAAGCCACCATTGGATGGAAGTGCTATCCAGACCTCTTCAAGATAGGAGACTTTGCAGCTCAAGAATGGCTGGAGTTCTACTGAAATGATTACAACACAACTGTGATTTTTTTTCCCCATTAAGGCGTCAAATTTAAGCAAGCTTCAGAGTTTCATTTACAACCTATGTGTACAGCAATCAATTGTATGTGGGAGGGGAGGAAAATGCAAAGCAGAACTCCAGAGTTAATTTTATCTAGAGAGGAGAATGAAGATTTGGGGTTGAGTTCTTTGTTGTCATTTCATTTAATTTCTATCTGTTAGAAAAACTGGATGCAGCATGATATTAATACTGTCCTAGATACTACATAAAATTGTATTTAAAATGATTGTGGTGCAATGCATCTGAAAACATTACTGATGGATAAGTTCTTTCAGGCCCTAGGGATATTCAAAGATTAGGGAAGTGGGAAGGTACCTTGCTGGACAAAGGCTCCATAGACAATCCAGATGGCACTGTGCAAGGTGGCAGAAGCAGATGGTCGAGGCTGGGCAACACTTTGAGCCCTCACAGCCTGTATCCGGTTCAATACAAATATCAGCACCCCAACCACAGGGATGGCTGCTGCAATGCAGGCCCATACAGCAAAATCGAAAGGAGCAAAAAGGGAAAAGATGCTGATTTTCTCCTCAGGCTTCTTGATCAGAATCCCCACTGAATAGTCCATGTACCGCTTGCTGAAGTCCACAACACTCTCCCTTTCTGGGGTGATGGTGATGGCAGATATGGCTAAGTCTGCTCTCTGAAAGGCAAAAGACCTCATCAGAGGATGATCCTGAGCTCAGTGCTGGGCTCCACCTTGGGTCAAGGTCCACCCTCTTCCCTTTGAGTAGTACTGTTTCCAAGCAGTAGATTTGAGAGCTGACTCTCTAAGACTTTGGAAATTGTAAGGAAAACCCAACACCATAATGTTTATTATCACCTTCATCTTACAAATTTCTTTCCCCAAGCCTCAAATCTCTTGGAAAATTCTGATAATAGAGTCCAGTACAATAGCTTCATTCTTCTATGTTGTTTTTCTTTACTTTGTTACTGTTCCCCTTAGCTATTTTTACTTACTTTTTTACCCTGTGTTTCCTTATTACCCCTACCACTACCACCAAGAAAACCCTCTATCTTCTTCTAGGCCTAGCTGCATCTTCCCTATATAGCAAAACCATTGGCTCACTCCATTTCCACATTAGGGCTCTCCAAGTTCCATTGTTCCATGTTTGATCTCTCACTTTCCTAAAATACTTCAGAAATTAAGTGGTGAGTTGTACAGCTATGTTGAATCTCGTCAACGAACCAGTCTGATTGTTTTATATGCTGACTCTACGCCAGAAGGTAATATCCTACAAGAATAATGGTCATTCAATTATTTCTTTCTTCTCCTACCCTTAATTCAAGGCTGCAGACACATGGGCTGATTCTTCCTATAGCAACGCTACATTAAGAAGTGTATCTTGGACATGTCATACTGTGACCTAAAAATTACCTCCCAAGACTTTGGCTTTCTAAATCAGTTTTCATTTTAAAAAACAAAGACTGAATCAAGGTGGAACTAGACCGAGGATAAGGCTGCAAAATTTATCTGCCCAGATGAGTAAATGTCAGATAATATCAGGCCCACTGTCACCATTTGACCATTTGACCATAAGAACATTGAAAGGCACTCTCATCACCCTAACCTTAGTTCTTAGGTCTCCAAGACAGAGGCATCATCAACAGACCAGATGCATTTTAGAATGACTTGTTGTGGCTGTTGATCCAACTCACATGCTCAAATTGGGGAAATGCACATAGACAGATTTCATCATGTTCATTATGTACTGAGGTCCTAAGCTGAAATCCAACAACAATCTAGAGTAAAGAGGGAAAAAATATGTTGGAGGTGACTATGTCAGAGCATGTCTGGTTCTTGCCTCTCTTCAAAGAAACCCAAGATCCAGGGATCTCTGTTAGGATTAGGAGAGTTTAAACCATATTTAAGAGCTGAGAAAGAGACTTAACAGAACAGGGTAGGTTTGCCATATAGGATGAAAGGAAACTGATTTATGAAGCCAGGTCCAGAGGAGGCACAAGGAAATCAACTCATGACACAAGTGAAGATGGTGACCTGTGACAGGGCAGAGACACTCGTCCCCAATATAGAGAGCAGGTGCCCCATATGTGTAGGAAGTAGGAGTAGAATTGAATGCCCCAAAGTCTAAATTTATTTTCCCAATATAGGAAGGCAATCTTTTTTTTCAATTGAGAAGGGTAGAAAATTATTAGGTATTTTGAGGAGAAAGGTAAACTTTTGAAACACTGTCTGAGGGATATACCCAAGGGAACCAACAAAGGACAAGGGAGTTGAGCCATACTGAAGGTGCAGCTGAGGCTGAAGTCCATACTTATCCAGATATTAATATGGATAAATGTGGGATAGTTTCTAATTTCATGCAGAAACTGGATATCTGAGTCAAGAAGGTAGCTAACAGAAGCAGTTCAGGGGTAGAGTGCAACAAGAAATCAAGGACATAGAGACTGGGGGTGTGGCTCAAGTGTAGAGCACTTGGCTAGCAAGCCAGAGGCTCTGAGTTCAATCCCCTTTGTGATCTGCCAAATAAACAAATCACAAAGGATGAGAGGGGTGTATGGTCAATCACAGAGTACACAGTAAGTAGGGAAGGACACAGTATCAGAAGGGCATGCAAACGTCCAAGAGGGATGCAGCTCAAATACTTATGCTAAGTGGAAAGAGCCAGACACTAAAGACTCATATTATCTGCCTCTGCTCATATGAAACATTTATAACAGCAATTCTAAACTGATAGCAAGTAGATTAAAGATTGCCCGGGAATGGGGGTGGGAATGGCATTAATTGTAAATAGGTAGGAGAGATTCCAATGTGATAATGGAAGTGCTCTGAAACCAGATTATGGTGGCAGTTGTGCAACTCTGTACATTACTAAACATTATTGAATTGTACAGCTAAAATGAGTAAATTTTTATAGCATCTAAATTGTATCACAATGGAGTTATTTTAAAAAAAAGGTTAAGGGAAATTGGAGAGATGGTAGGCCTAGTGTCTGCCTTCATAGGTTTAAAAAGCAAAGATCCTCACTGTCTGAAGCTGGGCTGGACAAAAACTGCAAAACACTGTCAGAAAAATAACTAATGCAAAAAGGACTAGGTATGTGGTTAAAGTGGTAGAGTGCTTGCTTAGCAAGTATGAGTTCTTGAGTTCAAAATCCAGTACCACCTAAAAAAAAGGAAAAAAAAAGAGAACAAGAAAAGAAAGCAACACTCCCAAATAGGAAGTCACCAAGGTGTGGAGGTGTAGTCATGGAGAAGGGTAGATGAGGTGGCCCATAGATGCTCACAAGTGGGTACTGGAGGGGAGCAAAGCAAAGGACACTAGAGCAAGGGCTCAATGCACTAAGAGTCCAGACTTGTCCACAGCAATGCCAGAAACTGTTAAGATTGGTCAGGCATGGTGGCTCAGACTTATAATCCTAGCCACTTGGGAGGAAAAGATTGAGAGGAGTATGGTTTGAGGTTAGCCCTGGCAAAAGGTTCTACAGACCATATCTTAACCAATGACTTGGTGCAACAGTGCATCTATGTGGGATAGGAGAACAAGCATTCACCAGAACATCCCAGGTACATGGAGAAGCACAAATCAGAGAATCATGGCCCAGGATGGCCCAATTATAAATAACCAGTAAAAAAAGGGCTGGTAGAGTGGATTAAGTGGTAGAGCACCTGCCAAGCATGAGAACATAAGTCTAAACCCCCAGAACATAAGTCTACACACATGTTGTGTTACCTAGCCCACTTGTGATCTATGTGGGATAGGACAACAAGCCAAAAAAAGTACAGCCAAAAAAAGAAAGAAGGAAGGAAGACAGGAAGGAAGGAAGGAAGGAAGAAAGGAAGGAAAAAATTGTCAAGGTTCGTTGTAGTGGTAATATTGGGGGGCTTAATCAGTTGTCACCATTCTAAGTTATTGTGGGGATAAGACTCAGAGTCCATGGGGTGACAGGATCTAGAATGGGGATTTAAATGAGGATACTTTCTACAAGAGGGAGAAACCATAATGATTTGAAATGAGCACATGTAGCTGGGGAATGTCACATCACCAATATGATACATAGCAATGCCAACATGTGCGCACATTCATAACACACACTTACAAACATGTTGTGTTACCTAGCCCACTTGGGATCTATGTGGGATAGGAGAACAAGCATTCACCAGAACATCCCAGGAGGCACTAGGTTCCTATTTTAACCCAAGTGTAGGGGTGGGTCTCTTGGGGGGTATATTAACAATATGGGTAGGCTCCAAAGGAATGAGAGCAATGGGCATGGAGGCAAATCACAGAGTGCCAGGGGACGAAAAGATAAAAGAGCAGAAATGCACACAGCAGGTAGACTGAGGAGGAAAAGAGACCTCAGGGTATGGAGAATGGTAACTGTGATCTGTTTAGCTGGTCTCAATGGTCCAACTACGTAATGAGCCAAGTTTAGGTATGCCCCAGAGAAAGACTCAGGTTCCCCTCCCTGTGGTCTGCTCTTGGTTCCTACCTTGCTGATGAGCTCTCCAATCATCCCGTTCCAGGAGGTGTTATGGAGCTGGTGACCATACCTGCCATCAGGGGCCTGGTAAATCTCATACTTGAAGCCCAGAGCCTTGGCCAATGCATCCAGCACATCTATGGAGAACCCCTTGTAGCGTTTGGGCTGTCCAAGAATGTTCTCAGCCACCATCACAAAAGGCTCTTCCTGAGGACAATAGAACATATGTTCTTCAATTCAATAACAGGCTCATTAACACATATTTTCAGAATATTTTTGGAGAGACTAACCTAATAATTCATAACTTTAGAATGTTAGGTTTAGGCTAGGGGTGTAGCTCAGTGGTAGAGCACATGCTTAGCATGTACAGTGCTAATAACAATAATAACAGAATATTAGTATTTACACAATTTCTACCTGGAAGCTGAACTCCTCTGCCCTTTCTTAAAAGTAGTTTATGGACAGTCAAGGTTAAAGTACACATGACAACCCTTCAATCAGCAGGTCAAATATAGAGCAGTGGAGATTTGCCTCTCCTGTGTATGTCATCCCAGTCTACCCAAACTCCCAGCTCCCAGAATAACATGACTTGTCTTCTTTCCTTTATTTGTAACATCCATGATGAACCCAGACTCTGTCCTTAGGAAATGTCATAATACTATGAGAACCATATAAGAAATTTGATACTTCTCATCCAGGATAATACATGGTAATGAGACTCTGTGATATTAGATTGAGAGAAAACATTATGTCTATCAAGTTGTACTAGAAAATGAATGCTGGTTAGTGAGCCAATGCATACCATAAATCAAAGGACAGGTTACAATTAAACCCCTAATATCCTGAGTCCACTGCCAGGCTATTTGTACCCACCCGGTGTATGCTGTGTCCTGGGAGGTAGGTGGCTATCTGGAATATATCTCAGCCTTGCCTTCTTGTGTGAAACTGAACAAGAAAGGACTATTCGGACATATCCCTGGGGAATATACCTCATGAAGTTAGATTTCTTGGAAAAAAGGGGTGTACGTTTTATCTGTGATGTGCATACAGGGAATAAAGAAATGCTGCAGCCAAAGGTTTCTATGCTTGCTAGGATAGCGGGGAACATTTGAACCAGGTCTGACTCAGCCAAAAACGAGTCATCTAAAGAATCTCTGCAGTACTTCTAAAAAGGCAAAAAAAAATGCTTCTAAGATCTGTCACAAATGAGAAAGACTATGATTCTAGGGCTATGCAGAGAAGTTGCAACTAAAGAACTGTCTTTATGGTAAACTTCGCATCATGTGGGCCCATCAAAGTGTAGGATTCTAGAAGAATGTCCTCCTCTCAGCATCTCTCCAGAGACTCCGTGGCTCTCCCAAAGAACAGCAATAGACCCAGATCCAATTTACACTCAAGGACAAGTGGAGCAGCTGGGAGTCTTGTGGAGCCCAGCGGCAGATCTACATGAGTTGTCCTCTGCAGAGGATCTCTGGGCCCTTCCAGGACAGACTCAGAAACCCCAGAGGAGAACGCCCAATCTTACCCTCCCCTTCATTACTTATGCAATCATTTGAATGAAAAGCCTTGTGAATGCTCAAACCACTCCTCAAGATCCCCTCCTCCCCAAGTCCAGCATTAACCAGAGAGAGCAGCCTCTGACTCAAAAGGCAGGCCAGTGAAGATCCCAGAACAGCCCCATGATCCTACCAAGACAGTCACCACTTTGAGAGTCAGTCCTTGGAGGCGGCTGCCCATGGGTCTCTCCTGCAGGCTGCCATTCAGGCCCTTCTCCGAGTCCCACGTCGCCAGCTGTGAAGGGAAACAGGGAGCATGAGGAATGGAAGACGCACCTCAGGAGACCCTAATGTGCTTGCCTTGGGAACTCCTCCTGAACTGGATTCCTGAATCAGACAGGTAGCCAGACAGCAGCCCATTGAGCTTCCTAGAGTTCTAGAGCCATAAAAAGAATAGAGCTGCAACAGACAGGAAGTTCCTCCACAAGTTCACCTGGATCTCTAGGACTCCACACATTCCTAAAATGAAACCAATGAATGTTCATATCCAATTTCATTCCGTCCACTCAAGAAGGCCATGTCACTTTGTCTCCCACAAAGTATCCTCTTCTTTAACTACTCCTTTGACTTCCCCAAGCCATAGGACCCTTAGACTCAGCCATTGCTGCCACCATGGGCAGAATGAGGTTCAGAAGTAATGTAAGTAACAAAGATGCAAGTGTGCAGCTTGCCTTGCACATGGTGCCCTCTGCAAGCAGGAACAAGAGCTCCCTGCCTATATTTGGTGCAGTGTAAACACCATAATCTTGCCTGGTCCGCAGGTAGAATAAATGTGCTCTGCATCTGCCATATCTTCCTGAGCCTGTAGGGTGTATCCAAGAGCCTGATGTACCTCTGATGGGCACCCTAAGGTATGGAGAGGCTCTTAAAGAACACAGGAGACTCAAGTGTTTGGAGACTGCTTGCCCTCCCTGTTGCAGGGCCTTGGCAACAATGAGCAAACCCTTATACAGTCAATGATTCTCAATTATTAATTGGGCAGTTGCAAAAAAATATATAAAGACTAGATCCATCTTGTGTCAATTAAATCAGAGTGGCAGGGCCTGGTCATGGGGAGTATTCATGCTTCCTGGTTGATTCTGATATACCCTTTTAAGTCCCTGGGCCTCTAGCTTGGCTGCATATTAGGATGTCTTAGGGGTCTTTTTAAACATACTGAAAGCTGGGTTCCACCTCCAGAGATTCTGATTTAATTGGCTTGTGGTGGGTTAGATATGAATATTTTAGTTCTCCAGGTGATTCTACTAATACAGAGCCAGAACTGTGAACCATTGCTGTAGATTACATCGGTAATTCTCAAACTATGATATGCACACAAATCACTCAGGGATTTCCTATGTACTTTCTGATTCTGGGACCTGAGATTATTCATGTCTAACAAGCTCCCAGGTGATGCTGTTGTGGATGATGATGAGGAATGATCCATGGACCACCATTTATGTAGCAAGAGGTTAACATATCATACTTCTCTAAGTAGCACTGGAAGACACACAGACCGAGCAGAAGATGGATCCCTCTGTGGAGATGTGCCACTGGGGACAGGAAGGAGGTGTCAGTAGCTCACTTAGGACACTTCTACTTTCCCAGTTTTCCTCCACAGTCCTGACACCAGTGGTAGGGCCTGCACACTGGGCCATCGTTCCAGAAGCTGAGGAACCATCCCACCTGGAAGCTGCTACAACTCTGAGGACTAAAGCAAAATCATCAGAATGAAATAAGGACCTCTAGATCCAGTTTAAAAGAAATCTGGAATCTTCTGTTGTTGCTTTGGATGCAATGTCCACTAAGACTCATAGACTCCCAAGTAATAGAATTATTTGCAGTGATAAATGCAGAATTTACTTAACAGCATGTAGGTCTCTGAAAAGACCCACAACCACTTGTAGTAAAGCACAAATTAAGATCTATCCAGAATTCTAATTAAAGGAATTGATGATATTAGTGGTACCAAAGTCTGGAACAGACTTTGAAACTGGAACAGAAAGAAGGAAATATTAAGACTACTTCTCTTCTGGTCCTGGGAAATAGCACTAGGATTCAGAGTTGATTCCTGATACTGTATTAAAATGCTGGGCAAAGGGAAGAGGGCAAACTCACAGAGTCAAGGTTAATTCACTGTGATTTTGGTTTTATGCATGTTCCAACATAGATAAGGAGACAGAATATGTGTTTGGTCCTCCTGCATATGCATCCCCACAACTGCTTAGCTAGCACTAAAGCTTCTTAATCCTGCTGTGTGGTCTGTACTCCTGCATATGAGTGGTTATGAAAGTCCTCTTGGACATCTCAATGACTCACAGAGTTATGAGAAGGCAATATGGTCCCAGTAAGGATGTGTGCATTTCAGACACTGGATAGTCTGTCCCATACTAACACTGGATTCCTACATCTGCAGCTGAACTCCTTGGCACAGTGTAGGTGCATCTTGACTCTTTGAAACCCTGGCTTGGATGAGCACCTGAAACTGATAAACCAAGATTTAGCTGTATTTCTATTGGGATTATACTCGGGCATGAGAATAGAGAATGTACACAAAAAGAAGGATAGGATGAAGCCCTGTGCCATTAAAGTTTCAGTTTACCTTCAAGAAGACTCTACCTCTCAGTGCCTCTCCACAATACTTCCAGGCTCCAAGCAGCATTATCTCCACCCCTGATCATTGCTATCAGTCTCATTACCCCAAACCTTTCTGTCTTCCAGCCCATCCTCCAATGTGCTGGCACATACTTCTACAATAAGTAAACTCAAACATGGACTATGTTAATTAGCATTGTCTAATAAGTTCTCACTTCCTACAAAAGAAATCTTAATACTTGTAAGCTTGACCTAAATGAAAAGCTTCCTACCTCAGAGCCCACTCTGGCTCTCAGCCCCACTTCAGTTTAGGTAGCCAGGATGCAGGCCAGACCCACCAAATCCTCATCCTTTCTTATGCATATCACATTCCTGCCTGATCTTTGCAGTTCCTTCCACCTGAGAAGCTATTTCTCTTCTTGTTGGTATGGTAAACTCTCGCTCGTTTAAAAAAAGCTTTCATTTGAAAATACTTTTAGAGTTCCAGAAAAATTGCTGAGGTTGTACAGAGATTCTCCCACGTACCCAGTTTCCCCTGTTGTTAAGATACTTTGTATTTTATATACAGGTAGTCACAGCTGTTGTTGAAATTAATGTATGATACATTATAATCAGTATATTACTGTTCATCACAACTAATGAATGTTTACCATAATCTCCATGAGATAAAAATGATCTTCAGAGACTTCTACTCTGGGCCCAGCTGTGGGACCTGGGTTTCTTGCCCCATTTTATGGAATCATAAGCTGTTCAGTTTCTCAGGCTCTTGGTTACAGCTGACCTTGCTCATTCCCATATCAAGGTTCCAATCTTGCCTTCGTCACCATATTCTCCTCTCTAAGATCAACCTTTGTAACTGGTCTAGATTTGAGGAGGAAGATGGGAAATTGAGAGTGGAGAACACCCACTCACACATGTTTGAGTCAACAGACCTATGTTCTCATTCTCATCATTTACCTGAATTACCTCAGACAGCCCATTTGATATCATGGTACTTGACAGATAGAAGGCAATCGACAAATATTTGCACAATACATTAAACTTTACTCAGATTCCATTCTCTTTTCCATAAAATGTACTACAAATATCATCCCTGCCTATTGAGTTAAGAGGCTGTTCAAAGGAGAAATAATTTTGAAATAATCTATCATAAAATAGCTTAATGAAGAATCACAAAGTAAAGAACCAGGTTATAAAACTGTGTGTACAATATGACCTTAATAATGTTTATTTCAGAAGCATTGATAAAAATGGGAGGAAATACATTAAAATGTGATACACAGCTATATGTCTTACATATAGATGGAGACATTATAAATAATCATTATTGTCTTCTTTTTGCTCTTCTTGATTTTAATAGTTTTTTTTTCTCTAACAGGGAGGAAAATGAGCTTTTGATAAAAATAACTAGCATAGGTGATTAAGCAAAATCCTATCACATGTTCTTTTATGACTGAATGTCAAAGGAACAATCAGAGTCAAATTATGTCAGGAACTTAAGACCCTCTGAGAGTCAGAACTAAATAAAATCCATTTTCTTACTCCAAGGAACTGTGGGTTAGGGTCCCTCATCTCCTAAAAGAGGCCTATTGATAGCTTGCCTCATATTCTAAGACATCTCCCAGCTGGTTAGGGCTCCATAAGTCTATTGGGTTGGGAGACAGAAAAGTCTCCTGGTCACAGATGAAGCCCAAATTCATAAAAACAAGAAATTTTTCTCCACTAAGAAAGAGGGACAGCTCTCAAACTCTTTAGTAATATTCAGACAACCCTAATGTAAGAAAGCTATTTAAGTCAAAGTAGAACTTCTTAAGAGGAAAAAATTAATCCAAAACTGCTATCAACCTTGTCTTTTGGTCTAAGAGTACTCGGGACTTAAAGTTTTTTGTTTTCTTTTAATACCAACTTCTCTCTCCTTGGCCTTTAGGCATCTTGTATCCTGACAGAGAAAGAAGAAATACTTCAAAGCAAAACTCAAATTCTGCCCTTCAAACACATCAAAGTGCAACCATGTTCCAGGACTCAGGATCCATCCAGTTGGGCAGAAAAGTTTATTATTCTCTCACATCAAGCTGATGCTGAGCGCCTCAGGCTGAGTGAATCTTGCTGTTTCCACAAAGCTGTGTGTTCTTGCCCAAATCTTAAGACCAGAGTGATAAACCCTCACCATTTCTTCAAGATGCTGTTCCTTTGAGCACCCATATACAAAACCAAGACAGACAAAATCATAGTTCAAGAGATAATCATGGAATTTTAAAATAAAACCTTCAAGTGCATTCCCAACTTTGCAGCCAAGCAGCATTAGGAGGGACTGCACCCCACTTCCATCCTGAATGCCAAGAAAAATGTTTCGGTCCGTGAGAGCCAAATGAGGTTGATAGGCTTGATAAACAGGAAGCCAGAAAAACCTCTGTACTCAAAGAAGTCCTGACACTTAGTCACACAGCAACAGGCCATTTCATTTATACGTAAGTGCGTCTACTCTGACTTCCCTTATATTTTATAGACAGAATTTTGTTTATGGGATCAATGAATTTATGGCCACAGACACCCACTTTTGACAGCTGACCTGTCAAGATCAGTACCTGAAAAACTAATTTCCAGCACTGTTAAACAAAACGAGTACTGCTGCTAGTTGATAAGACAGCTATGGTTTTCATTCATTGCTGAGATCTGCTCTACCCAGACCAGAAATGTGGACAGAGCCAGAGGTTACAGCACAATTATCACTTGGAAGGAGATATATGGCCTCAAAATCTGATTATAACAAACAACTGTTCAAGAGATCAGCCAGTTGGAGAATAAATTTCATAAACCACTGGTCTCCAGAAAATATATTTCCTGAGTCAATCCAGTGGTTCTTCATGTTAGTGCTCCTGAGTTGTAAGATGTGAGGATTTGGGACTTTGTGGCCCTGTCCTTAATAAATGCAGGGCTATTAACCCTAAATGGAGCAGGCTTCCTTTGGAAGACTGGGCTTTGTGATCTATAACTTCATTACACAACTGTCTTAAAGTGTCATTTTCTTTTCATGGGGAGGAAAGATAAAGAAGGGAGACAATCTAACTGCTCTACAGCTCAGAGACAGAATGCAACCAATTTCATATAAGGAACCTTGCCAATTCTTAGAGGAGGAGTGGAAAAGAAGTAAAGAAAGAGAGAGGGAAGGGATGGGAAGGGAAATTGGTTTACTGAATCCCAAACCTCCTGCATAATAATATCCAACAAAATAATAGGTATGTAACCTGTATTGTCAATTTTTGCAGCTGAATGAGGGATAGTTTGGTGGTAAGCTTGCCTCAAGATAGCACTAGAGATAGGAGGTGAAGCATTTATGACCATGCCTGTCAGATGACCCAACTATGTGAGCTGTGTCTTATCAACCTGTAACTGCTCTCAGCTGAGTACAGATAGCCTTAGGTGAGGTAAGAGATTCAGGAATGAAAGCCACAATGGATTTATCATCATGTCAGTGCAGGGGCTATTCTAAAGTTTTTGTTCCATTGCCTATTTTTATTGTAAAACAAATAGGCTCATTGTGTTTCAAAGCTTTGGATGGGGGCAAGGTAAAGAAAAATCCATTATCTTGAGTCAGCTTGAATTGCTCATTCAGTCAACATTGCTTTCAGACAGTTGATTGCAAGACAACTTCTCCTCCTCCTCCTCCTCCTCTTTCCCCTTCCCTTCCCCCTCTCCCTTCCCTTCCCACTTCCCCTCCTCCTCCTCCTCCTCCCTCTTCTTTTTTGGTGCTGGGGATTGAATTAAAGGTCTCATGCATGCTAAGCAGGCACTCCACCACTGAGTTCACTCCCAGCCAATTATAAGGACGACATGGTTAGATACAAAAGCAGCATTTCAGAAGCAGAGTCCAAGCATCTGAGAGTAGAATATTACTATCTGTAGCTGCAGTTCCTAAAGGTCTAATTTGAGAGTTCATTTTGGAAATCCCAGGATGTCACAGCCACTTCAATTGGGTGTTAGAGGGTATAAATCACAGGAGTTGACAGTCAGCAACAAGTTAATATGCCTACTGAGAAAGGGACCAGAACAATTCCTGAAGTTT